AAAGGACTTACCCCTCTATCCTTAGCCAACGAGCAATGGCAAGACCCGGCAGTGCAGAGCATTTCCGACCGAGAGACCGTATGGAAGGAGAAGGAGCTCCACGGGAGGTTCTACAAGGCTCTACATGAGCCTTTCGTAGACACAGTAGCCTCCCTCCACTGGCTAAGCTTTGGTGATCTCTTCGGGGGAAACCGAGGGTTTTGTCTGTGCAATACAGGATCAGGTTATTAAGACCAACAACTATCGGAGATACATCCTAAAGGATGGCACCGTCGACATCTGTCGAGCTTGTCGCCATCCCGGTGAGTCACTTAGGCATGTTATCTCCGGTTGTTCGGCGCTTTCTAACTCTGAGTACTTGCACAGGCACAACCTAGTAGCCAGAATTCTACACCAGGAGCTCGCTCTGAAATACGGTCTCGTGGACCGGAAATTGCCGTACTACAAGTACTTGCCGGAAGCCGTGCTCGAAAATGATCGCGCCAGGCTCTATTGGGACCGGGCCATCATCACAGACAGGACTATTCTTGCGAATAAGCCTGATATTGTGCTGATGGACCGGGCACAGTCAAGGATATTTTTGGTCGACATTACCATTCCGTATGATGAGAACCTCGTGAAAGCCGAAACAGACAAGCAAACAAAATATCTGGACCTGGCTCACGAGGTGACCGACATGTGGGGTGGTCTGCCGACCGAAATTATTCCTGTAGTCGTCTCTGCAAACGGGCTAATCCCAGTCAGCCTCTCGGGTCATCTGAGGCGGCTGGGGCTACGTGGCGGACCGCTCCAGGTTCAAATGCAGAAGGCGGTGCTCCTCGATACCGCCCGCATCGTCCGCCGGTTTCTTTCCCTTTCCCCCTAACCCTCGGCCGTTTGGTCTCCCCTGCCGAGGGCCTCCATCTGGTTGGGCTTTTATTTATTTATGTACTTTTATATTTATTTTATGTTATTGATATTTATGTATATTTATTTTTTCATTTTCATTTATAATTATATATTTATAGAACCCAACCAGATGAGAAAACTATATAGATACCCCATAATAATAATAATAATAATATAATTTATTTAGTTCCAAACATATACACAAATTAACATAACATAGTTATTTAATGGAATGAACTAAAAAGGCGTCTACTCAGTAGAAATGTTATAGAAACCACATAGTGGTAACTACAACTACTGATTTTCAGTAAACGCCAAAGACATAGGTGGAATAGAATAAACTTAACTTATTATACTAATCACAGGTTCCAACACTTATGAAAATACATACTTTACTTATATAAAAAACACACTTATAACAATTTAAAAATAAAAATAAAACTGTTAGCATTTAGGAAAAGGGCACAACAAAAAGCCAACACAACAAAAAGCGCAACAAAAGGCATGTGCAAGGCACAAGACACACAATTAAATTATTTGGCAAGATACAAAAGCAAAATAAATAAATTTACAATTAAGCAAGTATTCCTTAGTTTTGTAATATATAGACACAGTATACTTTATAAGATAAATGTGACACAGAATTCTACTTACTTTGCAAATTTAAAAGGTATTCTTTTAGTTTTATTTTAAAAGTGCCAACTGTTTTGCTGCCCTTGATCGGAGGTGGTATATTATTCCAACACTTTGTGGCAGCATACCGAAAGCTACCACGAAACGCGGCCGTTCTGTGTCTTGGGTACAATAATGGGACAGTTTCCCGCGAGAGACGTTCCGAGAAACTGAGCCTTTCATATAAGTATTTCGGTTGTTGACTTTGTAATAATTTATAAAGTAAACAACTGTAATGAACCGATCTACGAGATTTCATATTAATAAGTTTGCTCTGATTTAAAAACGGTGTCACATGGCCTCTACGAGGAATTCGATAGAAGAACCTAGCGCATGCATTTTGTACTCGTTGTATAACAAGTTTTGTTCGCGCAAGCAAACACTCTCCCATGACAATGTCAGCATAATTTAGCTTAGAGAGTATTAATGACTCGCAAAGTTGAACCCTTAATTCTTCACTTAAGTATTGCCGGATATTATAGAATACTTTTAATCTATAAAAACAATTTTTCACTGTATGCATAACATGATTTTCAAACCTTAGTCTACTGTCCATAATTATACCCAAGTTACGAACTTCAGATTCTTGTTCAATATGGTCGCCACCAACAATAACTTTGGGCTTATGAGCATTCGTTCGTTCTATTAATTTCTTTGACCCCAAAATCATGAACTTGGTTTTATTTGGATTGAAGATGAGTTCATTATTACTCGCCCATTCAGCGATCATACTTAACTCCTGATTTAATTTGTTAACTGCCTCATTTGTATCACTCGGCCTAAATGATATGTATACTTGAAGGTCGTCTGCATATAAATGATACTGGCAATATTTAAAACAACTTGTAATATCAGCACTGTAGAGAATAAACAGTAAAGGACCTAAAATTGACCCTTGTGGAACACCACGAGTAACAGGAGACGCAGCAGAAAAAATGTTGGTACCAGTTTCATTTCGAAGCCTGACTCGCTGTGTGCGACCATTCAAATAACTTTCAAACCACTTTAATGCGTTACAATCAAAACCATAATACACCAACTTCGACAGAAGCAGTGTAATATTTATTGTATCAAACGCACGCGAAAAGTTAAGTAGAGTCAAAATTGTAGCCTCTCCGTTATCCTGCGCTGTTAGAATGTCATCGACAACACTCAACAGTGCTGTGACCGTGCTTAGTCCAGCCCTAAAACCTGATTGTTTAAGAGGTAAAATATTGTTCTGGTTTAGATATTCTATTAATTGTAAATAAATAGCCTTTTCAGCGATTTTAAATAAAAAAAGGCAGTATACTTATAGGGCGAAGATGATTTAGTTCTACAGGATGATTATTTTTTGGTATAGGATTTATGATTGCTTCCTTCCAGATGTCTGGGAACACCCCTGTCTGTATAGACGTATTAATAATGGTGGTTATTGTTTTCAAAGTCCGTGGAAATTTAAGAGAACCATATCTTTAGTGATACCATCAACACCCATAGCATTAGTGGAAATATTTTTCAAAATTTCTGATACTAAATTTTCATCCACTAATTTTAAAGTGAAAACCGACGAATTGAAACGGTTAGATTCAAAATAGCATAATGTTGAAGGACTTACACTATTGCTTCCTGGCACGTGTAGAAAATGGTGATTTATTACGTCAGGATCATTCAAGTTTGATGGCAAAGCAATATCTTTTTTGTTGAAGTCTACTTGAGCATTTTTTGAATTTTTATTAATAAAATATCGAAAGTAGGCTATTTTTTCCCTCAATAAATCAGCATTAACAGTACTCTTCAGATCTTTATAATATTTTTTGTCTTCTTTTGAATTATGGCCCTTACATTTTGCATGAGCTTTATCTCTTAGCTTCATCATTTCTTTAATCGTTGGTGTGATCCACGGATAGCTTTGGCATTTTATGTAGGACGTTCTTATTGGTGCATGAATATCAAACAGGTACAAAATATGTTCATTGAAAGCCGTTAAAGAACTGTTTACGTCGCCGCAAAGCAACTCTTCCCAGAATACAGCATCAACATCAGAATTAAATTTTATTACGTTTATATCCTTAATTGGTCTATAAGTAATAGATGTTGAGGATTGCTTCGGCTTTTTTACGTTCAGATCACAAGATAAAAAAGCGTGATGACTCAGATCTGGCACATAATCAACCTGTATATTAGATACATCACAGCTACTGCAAATTAAGTCAAGTAAAGTTTCCGAGTGATCAGTAAAATGAGTCGCTTGTGTGACGTACTGACTTAGACCCATACAAAGAAGAAAATCATTGAGCTTTTTAGAATTAGGATCAGAAGGTGCAATCAAATTAATATTGAAATCTCCCAACAGTATAATATAGTCGTAGGCTGAGAATGAGCTGACTGTATCGGAAAGATCATTTATAAAATTATCAACGTGAAACCAAGGAGGACGATACGCGGTACCTATGGCAAGTTTCAGACCATTAGCTTTAACACCTAACCACATCTGTTCAATAGTGAGCGTACTCGGATGGTCCAGGACGCGAGCGTGGATACCATTTCTAATGTAAAAACCAACACCCCCTCCTCGTGCTCGGACGCTTGCAGGACGCGGTTTGTGTCGTAGCTTGTATCCTGGAGGGGACGGTGCGCGCAGTTCCTCACCTGGCTTCAACCACGTTTCATTTATCGCCATAATATCTACCGCATGACGATCAAGGGAAACCAAAAATTCATCATGTCGTGTACATAAGGAACCCGGATTCAGAAAACCAAGAGATAATTTTTTTTTACTAATAAATTGTATGATAAAAGAATATGTTATCTGAACATATTTGCAATTAAATAAATATTTTCTTAGTAAAGTCAGATGTCGCATATCCACAAATGAACGCGTCGATAAATGCAATAATAATTTATGAAAACTAACGAACGTCTTGTAATATACAAGTATATAGGCTATTCCTAGAGTAATTTGATTTAAAAATGTTTTAACGCACACTGTGACATAGAAATTATTATTAAAAAAAAGGCAATATAAAATGCTAGCGAAAAGTACAACACTCGAAACGAACAAAACATAAATCAAATTAAAAAAACAAAGAAATATCACCTCCCTCAACAATAGCACTAAATTGTTTAGAAAATAAAGTATACAAGTGATGAAAGGAATTCTGTTGAAGATCTATTAAGAAAGTTTAGACAATTCCATATATACAGGTAAAAATTTATACAATATATTATTATTAGGCCATAAAAACTATTGTAACGTATCACATATTTCACAAGATAATTATATGTGTAACATAATTTAATACTTTTTCTAACACATAAATAAAACACAAAATTGTAAGAAGATATCTTTGAGTACATAACCTTTGTGTCATTATAAAATATTATTGAATATGTTGAAGCAAGCAAAAGTAAAATAATAAGCATATTAATACACTTATATATCTTAACTTTATATACCGCTAATCTGCCAGAATATAACAATGAAACGTATGTTAATGTAACATTTATGAAATAAAAAAATTGTAATTTAATGTAAAAAGTTTGTATAAAAATAATTATAAATAACATATTCTTATTATTCGCCGAGTGACATAGTTTTAGAGCCAACAGCTTCCACACCAAAAACCTTGGTCAAATCTTCTTCCGACCGAAGCCGATGTCGCTCACTCCCATGTTCCTTCCTTACATAAATCTTTCCATCAAGTGACCATACATACTTCCAACCAAGCCTTTTCGCTGTCGCACGGGCTTTATAAAATAACCGGCTATTGTGCTTAGTAAGACGCTCGTTGACATAAATGGTGCGAGCTAATCCCGTCAGTCCCAAACCTTCAGTGGTGATATTGCGTCGTACTCGTGCCGCCTGTATTAGAGCATCACGCTGAGCACGACGCGCCAATCGCACGACTAAAAGGCGTGGCCGCGGAACTGAAGAGCCCTCGCCATTATCGCGTATAAAACCTGTACGCTCTGAAGACACCACATCGCGCTCATCCAGGTCCACACATAATTTCTTGGCAATAGCCAAGGTAATATGTGTGGTATTTTCACCACTCGTTTCAGGGAATCCCGCTATCTGGATATCATTAGCGAGTAAGTCTTGGTCACGTTCCAATATTTGTGACTTCAACTGTGACACTGTCTCTTCCAAAGTCGAAACTTCACAGCGTTGTAAGCCTTTTGACTTGTCTTCTAAGGCTGATATTCTGGTTTCGATGGAGTCAATGCGGCTGCTTTGCATCTTAATGGCAGTCATAAGATCTGTCATAGAATTACGGAACAAGCGCATCTCAGCACGGATTGCCTTCATTTCACCAAGAAGCAGTTTGAAGTCCATAGCTGTATCATCGAGCGATTCTGACATAATATTCTCCATGATGATGCTGTCCTCTTCATGAATGTTCTTGTCCTGAGTATTTTTTGTAGGTGGTTTGCCGCGGACTGCCACATTCGAGTTCTCTGGTGAGACAACCAAAGTCGGGGGACTAGACATTTCAGACTCAGCAGTACGCACTGGTGTATTCAAATTATTCGTTCGCGGGAGTTTGCTCACACATGAAAGGCATTTCCAATTATCTTTACGCTCCTTATTAAACGAATAAAAAGAATAAAAGCGTTTACTACTTATATTTAGACATTCAATGTCATAAACTCCTTTACAATTACAACAACGTAGATATTCTCTTTTGGGTAAAGGTTTCGCACATGCAGCACAAGTCTCGGTTGGTGGTGACATCATTTCACACAATAGATTCAATATGACTAACAAACTAGGACTTATTTCAAAATTAAAATATTCCCAAATCAGATGAATGCGCGCGCTCTCTAATGGGTGACCGTAGACTTAATCTAACTGATCGATTAGCATAAGCTCGTACCTATCTATATTTCGCCAGTAATTAGTAGATGGCGTGATAATTCAAAAATAGTTATTCTCTTCAGGTAATCTATTATCACATAGGTGTCGCTGATTTAATTAGATGTACGAGTCACATAAATTTAAACATTTCAAACTACCATAACCGTCACTTTAATACAAAATTTATGTTTTTTCACTTTAACACAACAATAGAGGGTTGATAGCAATGTGACTTAGTTCGTTAGTACTGTACCTTAGCGCTTCACTTTAAAAAAACACTGTCTTATTACAATAAATTCGATAATACAACAATTGATAGTTCACTAATTCACTGGATTACTTTCATCAACTTTGCACTGTTAATATAGCTCCAAACAGCGAGATAACACTCTACACACTAAATTACGTTAGAATTAATACTTAGATTATAAAATAGTTACGTAAAGTTTGTTTACAATATTTTTAAAACAAAAATTATACGGAGCCTATGTTAACTGCTCAAATAGCGCCACCTGTCGTCTTTTGGACTATGCGTATGTCTTTCGTATCAAGGCCGATGGTCTTCAAAATGTATATAATAATGTCGTGCTTAACACGGTCTAAAGCCTTCTCCTAATCTATGAAATATTTCTGTATATGAACATTTAACGCAATCTGGGCTTCTCTTGTACCCATTCCAGTTCGGAATCCAAATTGAGTGTCTTGTAGTTGTTCCTCACACTTATGTCTTATGCGATGGTGAATTATGGCTAGGAAGAGTTTTATAACATGGCTCATCAAGCTGATAGTGCGGTAGTCTGAGCATGTTTTGGCATTTCGTTTTTTCGGAAGAGTTATGAAAGTAGATTTGACCCAGTCTTGAGGAATGTTACCAGAATTATGGATAGAGTTAAATAAATTTATAAGTACATCAACTTATTCAGGTCTTATCTGGTCCGGTGGCTTTTCCAAACTTTGCTTTATTAAGTGCAAAAACAACCTCAGATCTTATGATTTCCTGTCCAGTTATAGTTTCAAAACTCTGCGGAGAACTACGATTATTGTCCTGAAACATATCAGATATATAATTTTCCCAGGTCTTTTAACTGTGGTTGAGTCTGTGATGATCCTTCCAACATTGTCAACCAGAAAACCTTGTCTATATTTCTTTTGAATGTTCTCCATTGCCTTAATTTCTTTATGAAGATTAAAAGCATCAAACTTAGCCATTAAAGATTCCATAAGTTCACATTTTTCTTTATGCCATGTGATACGTTTGTGAAGAGTTTTATATTTCTGATGATCGGGAGATTTATATATGCGTCTTTCTTCAATAACTTGGATGATTGAGTCGGCAATCCAAGGATTTTTCTTTGAAACAGGCGATGGCCTAAAGAACCTATCATTTATGTCCCATATCTTCGACTTTCCCATAGAACTTGCACGTCAGTATTTCGTTTCTTCTTTTCTTCCACTGCCCATTCATTAATTGATGTATGCACTTTCCCTTTCAATTTTAGATCCTTTAATTTACTGATGTCAACATATTTGTTGTTAACTCTATTTTTGCTTCTGCATTTTAAGCGGCAAGTCAAATTAACAATGACGGGATTGTGGTCCGAGGTCCGAACCGATATCTGCACCAGGATACGTTTTGACATTAGTAACGCTATTACGAAACCTGTGATTGATAATAATATAGTCTATTTGATTTCGAACAATATTTGCCGGAGTATGAGATGGTGAGGTCCACGTATAAAGCCTTCTTGGCGGTAATTGATACAAAGTATTTGTAATCACTAGACTTTTTTCTTGACAAAATTGTACTAATAAATCACCTTGCTCGTTACGCGATCCTAAGCCGTACTTTCCTACTACTCCTGGGACTTCACCATGACCGTTAAAGTCACCCATAATTTATATCCTCTTTTTTTGATTTATATCCTCCTTTTTTGTGTGTCCGTAGAGTTCTTCAAGTTCTTTATAAAAGTTTTCTATATCTTCTTGGCTCTTATCAGCAGTTGGTGCATAAGTTTAAATAATATTCAATCTTTTGGGCTTGGTGTCTAATTGAATCATCATAGCTCGATTCGAGAATAGGATAAAGGTACTAATGGCATTTTCTAAATGTTTGTTAACTATAATAGCAACTCCGTAATAGTCAGATGTAGTGTCCTTTCCAGAGTAGAAATAAAAATAATAATAAGAATATAAATTATTTTATCTCTCTCAATCTCTTCTTTACCGTTCCCACACCATCTAGTTTCACTCAGTCCCATAACATGAACTCCTAAACGATCCATCTCCATAGCTATATTTAAGGATCTTTTCTCTTTGTAATAAACTTCTGATATTCCATATACTTATTTTAAATTTTTGGATTTACCGCCCGGGGATTCTTAGCCCCTCTGTTCCATTTAAGGAACGCCGGGCACTCGGGGTCATCACTGTAGTTTATCTCTCCATTTTTAGTGTTTTAGTCAAGGATGACTAACTAAGGAATAATAATAATGATGGTAGCTTCCTCTTGCTTTCCATCATCGCAGTTATCAGCCGTACCGTTGTTTCAACTCCGCCTGATATTAAATTCAATAGAACCGTTTTCGATGTCATTCATCTTGCGCTCCTATTAATAATATCGATGCTGCTGCCCATCGACAACCCAGGGTGAAATCTCCTCCGCCACTACATTAAATAAGCAATTGTTAAAATATGACTTTGAATCGCTGATTAAAAAATTCAATATACGAGTAGGCACAGTAAGAATGGTGTCACAGTCAAAATGGTGTATGTTTAAAAGTTGCTAATTTTAACAAACAGGCGCATAGTTTAGGTATTATTATAGTAATAACTATATAACCGGATGATTCGTTTTTTTTTAATATAGAATGGGGGTGACAAACGAGCACAGTCTACCAAATGGTAAGTGGATGCTGTGGCCCATAGACGTGTACATTTATTTTCGGTTGAGAATCAAAATGCAGATGTATTTTCAACCCTGAGGACTATAATGGAATGTCTCATTTGTAGTAAAAGGGTCTCCGGTTTTCTACACTCACCATACGTAACACTATAGTATTAAGCAGATTTTTTACGCGTGTGGTAGAGTGGTTTTTCCCCGGTCGAGCAGACCCATTAGTTCTACAACCATATTATTAATGCAGCGTGACTCTACCATACTGCATACACCCAGAGGGGTAGGCAGAGACTACAGACTTCCATTTAACATGATCCTGACATACCTCTATCGCCTCTTCCACATCCATATACTAACGCATACATGCTCGTCGGTTAAAGGTACTCTTAATTTGGCCCATTTTTAATATATCGTCAATTTGGTCGACAAATTTTTGCCTCGGACGTCCCTTTCCGACTCTTCCATTCACTTCTGCAACACATATTTGCTTTGTCAGTCTTTCCTCATTCATTCTTTCTACATGACCAAACCACCGAAGCATTCCTTTCTTAATCCTGGTCACCGCATCATCTTGCAAACCACACTCTTCTTTTACCACGCAGTTTCTCACCCTGTCCTCAGATTCAGCCCTAACATACTCCTTAGCGACCGCATTTATTCTACTCTCGTGCTTCTTCTGCCACACCCAACTTTCACTATCATACGGTAAAGTAGGGACTAATACAGCATTGTGAATTGCCATACGTGCCTTTTTGACACATTCTGACTTTTGACAGTAGAGTGTAGAGCCCCATTTACTTTATTTCCTGCATTCACTCGTCGTTCAATATCCTTATCATATCTCCCATCTATGCTAAATACACATCCGAAATATATAACTTCATCTACTTGCTCGACCATCTTCCCTTCTATTTTTATTTCACATATCATTTTACTTTCTTCTCTTTCAAAAACCATAACTTTCGTCTTACTTGCATTTACTTTAATCCCCCCTTTTTTTGAATGACCTGTTCATTAATGTAACCATCATTTGCAACTCGGCCGCCGACGACGCAAGTATGACTTGATCATCGGCGTACAAAAGGCATTTGATGGTTAACTCACCCATTCTTAACCCGCATTCTTTAACTTTCAAATTTTCCAAACAACTGTCCGTAAATAGGTTGAACAGCCACGGGGAAGCTACGCAGCTATGCCTGACACCTTTATGGATACTAAACCAGTCCGAGTAGGCCCCGTTGATCCTAACACACTTCTCGAAATTATGAGTCTGTTTATATATTTTGTAATAAATGAAAGTTATAATGAGAGTACATAATTGTTGGTAAAAGAATGTAGTACGCTTTGCATGACGTTATCCTTATAACTCTATTACATCGAACAAAATTAAAGTTAAACCGCCGTAAAGTTATAGTAATAAAGTTGAACTATCAAAATTGAATTTTCTGAATGAGACTTTTTAAATAGATCTTTTTAGATTAATTTTTGACTACGGAAAAGATTGAACCGAAACCGAAACCGAAAACTAATTTTTTTGTCAAATAACAATTATTCTTGGATTATACAATTTAAGAGTGATGGCTTGACATTTTTGTTGTCATTGTGTATTCTAAGCTTTTTTATTTATTTTTTATGTAACTTATGTAACTAAAGTGGCAAACAATCTTATAATCCACCTGATGGTTGGTGACTACTGTTCGGGAGTCAACCGAAACCGAAAACTAATTTTTTTGTCAAA